TAATGTAATTAAATTATCAAAAATAGTAGATGTACGATTTACGTATTATATTATATATTTCTTGTTGCTTTCACCCTCAATGTGATGTACCGCATATGAATCGATTGCACGAATGCATTTTTAAATATGCATTTTTAAATAGGCTTAATTGCAATCTATATTTATATACATTGTTATATCACCATGTATTGTGCTATTGCTTATATGCACACAATTCTCATTCTCTTCTTTTACATATATAAAAAATATAACATATATTTATTTCATAATGCACATTTTATATGCCTTAAAGCTTTGAGACAGCATCCATTGCACATTTGCAGGTATTTTTCGACTTGATGCGTGAAATAAGGTCACGCAAAATTGAAGATAAGTCAGCAAGCAATAATCGAGGTAAAGACCGTACCAAGAGGAAGAAAAAGAAGTGCATTATTCTATAGGTTTGCTGTTTTTTCTTGCACCATATTTTATTTTATGTTTTGAGTTAATAGAACTGGTGGCATTTCCTGTCTTGGCAATTTTATAGCGAATTCGATTGCATAAACACATCTTTACATCTATTTATATACGATGGCTTTAGTATATACCAGTGCGCACTAGTGCGTCCAATCGAATTCGCTAATACTTTATATCAGTGTATAATATATAGGAAATGCCAATAGAGTGTATTTGCTGCTTTTTATACTCAATGTCACAAATATGCAATAAAAATGTTTAGATAAATTAATATTGTATGACCTTTTAAGAAAATATTAGTAAATGTTAATTACTTAAAAGATATTTTATTGCATATCTCTGTTTTAACTCTGCTTTTCATTCGTATTTCAGATGTCCAAATTCTATATTTATTATAAAAATTGTTCTAATATTTACAAAATAAATGTGAAATTATACACTTACCTATAAAGCTTATCACAGCTTATGCAAAGCATGTATGCTTTTCTTTTTTTTTTCTTTTTTTTTTAATTACATTGTGTTGCAATGTCTTGTTATATGTCATATAAGTGAACTATATTTTTTGTATTATAAATAATTAATAATTATTTTATAAGAAAAGAAAAAAGTATAAAATATTTTACTGTGAATTGAGGCATATATTATTGCTGTAAGTTAAAATAAAAAATATATCTTGTTGATTTGCACAAAGTTAATTAATGAAATAATTTTTGAGAATAACAATT